ATTCCGTCACGCGCCACAAAATTATGGTCTCAGTAGGTGAATGGACTTTCCTTCGTCCGGGTTACCTCATAGTTTCTGGTGAGCTCACTGGTGCTGCCGGTCAAACATTGACTATAGTGGACCTCCATTTTGTGCTGGGGAGGGAAGGGGATTGTATTAACCCTAACAGGAAGGCGCAGGCGGATGAGATCCTTTGGGCTGTGGATCAGTAGGTCCCGGGTTCGATCCCTGGTGGGGGCATTTTTCTAACTTAAAGTTACTCACCTAAGAATTCACAAGTGATCCTCTGTGGTGATCTCAACTGCTCGACATTCAGCCTCAACGAGGAAGATATGGAGTCCGTCGAGTTGATGGTAGGAATATCTTTGTACATGCGTGCTAAATTATTGTGTCGGCTGTCCCCCTGTCAGATGTTCCATCGCAATGGATACCAAGATGCGCTGAAGGTCTTCAACCCTGAGGCGGGTCGACTCCCCAACGATCAAATGCGCGAAGTCATTACCAAAGCTTTTGAGGCCCGGCATAAATCTGAAGAAGCTGAGAAAAAATCACAAGTCGATGAGAAGACAAATAAAACCGCCGAAAACGACGAAGTCATCGAAACCGAAGTTGCTGATGATGAACCGAAGGTTCAAGAAATCAGTGATGATGAAGTTCCCCTTGTCCCTAAGGGTGATGGCGTTGAGGAAAAGCAAGATTGCAAGAAATTGGAAAAGATCAACTCGGAAGTGGAAGGATCTTTGGAACGCCTGAAAATGCCGCTCACTTGGGACGGGGTGAAAAATTTAGAAATTTTGGAAATTTATATTTTTTTCGCTGACAGGTGAATAATCCGTCGACGCGATTGGGCGACCCTGGCGCTGAGTTGCGATGTGATTATGTTTTCCTGAAGGACGCGCCCGAACCGGAACCGAGAACGATCAAGTTGGAGGAAAAGGAGGTGAATCTTGTGTGCATGCGTGCAAGATATTTTACTCGGTGGTGTTGGTGGACATGTGAGAAAGACGTCTCGAAATTCGTGATTTTCATGCTATTGTCTTGTCTTGAGCACAGCGGAGCGAAGCGTTTCACGAAGTGCATTATCGACATACTTGTCAGATGCGGGTCGTGTTCGATGGGTTGACTAGTCCGGCTGATGGTGTTGCTCCTTTGCCTATCATCTCTGATCAC